CCAGACCTGACAAAGCACATTCACCCACACTTGTACTTTTACTCCCCAGCTGACAAGTAAACTTTGTTATAAGAATTGACACTTTGGGACTAAGAGAAATATTCAGGGTTGTTCGCGGCGTCGTGATTGATAGAAATATTTGTGACAGTATCCACTCGTCTTGATACTCGTCTTCCATTTTTCATCTACCTCTTTCCCCTCACCTCCCTCAGCTGACAGCGGTGGTTTTGTTGATGTGAAGCACTGTCATGGTACAGAGACCCAAAATTCCACGCTTGTCTTCTCATAAGAGAATGATGTGGAGGCTCTCAGCACTGTATCTAAACAAAATAAGACACCGAGTGATCTGGGACTGTTTAAGCCTCAGGTAATTCAGTCGCTCTCTGCCCAGCAACACGAGCTCTGTGAGCCTCGCATTAGCAAACAATGGAAACGACTGGGGCTTTAGCGCTTTCAACGGCTTTCAACAGCCTTCAACAGCTTTCAACTGCAGATCCAGTGACATCTATCTTTATCCTCTTTATGTATAGTCCCACTTTTTGTTTTGTGTGACATGTTTTTTTGTATTGACATGACACTGAAGGAAAGCTGGGGAATCACACACAATGCAGATAGGTGAATATTTGTGATCTGCTGCAGATTTGTGGTGTTGAAAGTTTGACATACTTATTTTTCTGTCAGTAATTTTCACACTGATTGCTGACAGCTGACAAGAAAATGCACAGATGGCAGTGAAGGATGGAATATATTCAACTGCACGATGCCCCTTCTTGCATCAAATTAGTTCCACGTAAACACAGTGGAGTTTATGAAAAGTTTATGTTGCATCAGTAAGTTTCACCATTAGATATTTCATCCCCAAATGTCACCGGTGTTGTTGTGCGTTGGTTTTCTTTGTTTGGTTGCAGAGTTTTCTCCGACTGTGCGAGTGTGCCTGAAATAGTGGAAGCCAACATTTTTCTACCTGTGTATTTCAGACTTAACTTTAGTTAGATGTTGGATTTAACCAACTTGGATACAAGGATGCATCCCCAAGAGAAATGATTTTCCATTTCATCTCTGTGCACTGCTCCATGTCGATATTACAGTATCCCTTGTTGACTACCCCTTGTTGGAAGTCTTTGCACAAGAGGAAGGGGAAACACAACCCATTAGAAACACACTTTTGTGTACACATGGACAAGACATTGGGTTTTTCTCACACAAAGGCCTCTGCTTTAACTAGTTTTCTCTAATTTCTGATTAACAAAACAAGATGCTAAGAGAGTGTTTAAGTAAAGCAGGTTACTAGTTGCTGATCAGGTTCCTGAACCTAGCATTAAAAGGATTACGTCAGTGCACGCTGCCTCATTTGACAGCTCGTCCTTTTTTCTTACCATTTTGGCCTTCCATCAACACTAAGCCGGCAGTGTCAGATTGGTGTATCTTTCTGGCTCCAGCCTCACTGAGAAATTGAACACATTTCATCATCACAACCATTGATTTCCCCCGCTGTGAAACCAACTCGGCTCTCTCTGATGCTTTGTGTTTCACTCTATATATGTCCTGTTCTTGTTTTGTTTTCCTTCTGTCTGTCTGTGTTCTAATACACTTGTAATTCTGCTCCATTGTGTCCTCCTAACTTATATCACTCAGTTTCAATGTACGCAATACCATGCAACGCACATCCTGGTTTACCCCATATTCAGCCGCTGATATTTCCTAACTCCTGCATGTTACAGTGCTCCAGATTACCTTTGTAAAGTAGAATGCTTTCCTGCCTATATTCCCATTGACAAGAACTGAAACACCTAGCACCTAAAACACTTTGAGAGCAGCTGAACACTTCTGTGGTCAAACATAAAGTGATGAACTGTAAATATTAATACTTACCTGCATAATATTGAACATAAATGAGAGAATGTGGTTGAAGATGTTGCTAAGATGACTACACATGAACTACACATGGCCAACATTGCTCAGCACTACATTTGGTGCATCCAGATGTCAGCTCAGTATTCATTCCACATTTATTTCAAATTGGACTAATAATACAGCCCTGAAAACTTAAAGAGGATTTCTCTGTGCTGGAGCCCTTTGGTTCAACTCATAGACTGTATAAAAATAGCGGAATGGACATAATTACCTGCGGCACAGTGGTGCAGTGCTTAGCATTGTTCCTGGTTGCCGGGTCGGGGGAACCTCCCCCACGTGGAGCCTGCTCTCTGTGTCAGTGTGGGTTTTCTCTGGGTACTCCAGCTTCCTCCCACAGTCCAAAGACATGCAGGTTAATTGGTGACTCTACATTGCCTGTAGGTGTGAATGTGAGCGTGAATGGTTGTCTGTCTCTATGTGTCAGCCCTGTGATAGTCTTGTGACCTGTCCAGGTTGTACCCTGCCTCTCACCCAGTGTCAGCTGGGATAGGCTCCAGCCCCCCTGTAACCCCCTACAGTATAAGAAGTTTTGGAAAATGAATTAACATAATTACTCCAGTGTCAACAGACTCCTGTTTTGAAGGCTTGAGGAGTTTGCCATTTTACCCACGACCATCTTAGATATTTTGATCCAGACAGAAGTAACCTGAGGCAACTTTATTTGGATGAGAGGGTGGAGCTGGGGAGGAGCAAGGGATGGAACTGACCAGTTAACTGGGATGTTGCTTGCTTAGACCACTTTCACAAGCAAAAAGATAAAATAACTTTGACTGCAAGGGCAAAGTGTAAAACTTGTAGCATATATTAGTGAAGATGTGCTACATGATGTGCGACACAAATCTACGGATCTTGCACAGCTGTCTTCAGTCCTCTGCCAGGAGAAAGGCAATGCAAGTCAGCTGTCAGTCAGTCAGTCAGTTTTTCATTCACAGTACCTGTGTAGCCACCATCTCACATACTGCAGGATTATTTGATTTGATTAAAGTCTTAGCTGTGCTGAATGTTTCTGTGTATTCTAAGTATACGGTGAACCTATTAGATAGTACTTTAACTACTCCAGAGACTCAATGATATATTACTGACAATAGTTTTTGATCCTCAGCTTAATAAGCCACACACACAGTGATGCAAACACTTTAAATGCAGATGTTCTCCCTTTATTTTTCTCTAGCACAAGCTTCCAGAACCTCTCACTGTGTTCCCAGGTCCCCTGATCCCACTCATGTACCATCCAACATGCTTTCTTTGCATTTGTTTGAGTCCATTTGCTAGCTCTCTGGCTCATTTAAACAATTCACTTTAATTGCCCTACTTCCCTCATTACTTCGGCAGTAGCATGCCCACTGGTGTCCACCTCCTCCCTGTCCCTTTTGTCCTTTTTGACTGCACGCTGAGTTTTTTGCTCATTGCAACTGCCTGCCTACTAGTTGTCTCAGCTTTAGTCCTGGGTTGCTTGCTGGTTATAATTGCCACTTAGGCTGCCATTTTCTTAGCCTCTACCTCTCTTGCTGTGTCCCTTGCCCATTTCGTTTAAAGCTGCGAAGCCATAACAATCTCCCTTGTTTGCTAGTTTGCTCAAGCGCTGGTATTCACACTACTTTTTTTTTTATACCGTCCTTGCTCTTTGACTGTATAGCTGTCTTCCCCTCACTTGCTATTATCCCTTGTTGTGCCAGCAGTACCTTTCACAAGCTTTTTACTGTGTCTCACTTTCCTCTTTGCCCTTTGTGCCATCAGTGCTATTTGAATTGCCATATCTTCCAAGATCCCTTTTTTTACTTTACATCCATTATAACTTCATATCCCTTCTTATCAATCTTTTCTAACCCAAAGCCATGTCTCCCTATCTCCCAGCTAGCCTCCATGAATGCTTTTGTTGGCTTTCTTACTCTTTGCCCTCATGGGTTTCTCTTTAATTCTCTTGCCGGCCATTAACGGCCTTTGGTCCACCACAGTCCTGCTCGCTGGATTCCACTCTCTGCCTTCCTCTTGGTCCCCTTTGCCTTTATGCTGGCATGCTTACTTTAACTTTGTGTCAATTTCTCTGCTGGCAGGAACATACCGAGAGTCTTCATAAGTAATAGGCCCAAGTCAGATTTGCGGAGCACCACAGAGATTGCTACTTGGGTCTTTGTAACACTGCTGAACCTGAAATAAACTGCCAAGATCTTTTCTCATAGAGTTTTGCCTGTCTGCTCCCCAGTCCCCACGTACTTTTACCTAAAACCCATTTTTATCTCCTTTGCCTTTTCCTTTCCGTTTCACATTTCATTGCCCTCTCCCACCTCTTATTCTGTCATCCTCTCTCTTCCCCTCACTGTGCCTCTGTCATGTTTCTTTCCATTACTTCCACCAGTCCACCATTTCTCTCATTTCCCTCCTCCTTTCTGTTTTGTGAGCTTAACCTTATTTTTTCTTTCATCAGTCCCTCCTTGCTCCCTCCTCCTACTTCTTTTTTATTCATTATTCCTTTCCTTTGTCATGCATTTGTCATTTTCATAATGTTTTTTTTCTTCCTGCTTGTGCATCTGTGTTCTACCTCACCCTTTCCTGTGTCTCCCATATTTCCATCCTGAGTTTGTCCCTCGCTCCTCATTTCCTGTGTTCCTCCTCTATCTGTGCTCCCCTTGCAATCCTATCAGCTGGGAGCAGCTATTTAAACTTCACACTTATTCTTCACATGGAGCTGCTTTCAAAACACCAGAGAAAAGAGAGAATAGGAGAGCGGAGTGAGATAAGTGGTAGAAGTGCAAAGGAACAATCTCACAAAGTTTACATTAAATCCGGAGTGACTCTACTCAGTAGAATGACCTGGGTTTGTAAACAAGCGGCAGATATTGTATGATTATCTCCTTCTATTTACTTGCTGAGATATTTACTGTGGACTGCTTTGGCTTGTGCTTCTTAAGCTAACATAAAAGCCATATCACCAGAGTAAAAGCTTAAATAGACTTAAGCTACTACTATTTCTTGAGTATCAGCAGTTCACTGAGCAACTGGAAGTTGTGACTCATTTGCCATCTGAGACAGTCTTTTTTAGCTTGAATCTAAATCTGATTCTCCTGTGCTTTTCCTTTCTTCTGCAGGTCTGGTCGTAAGAGAAGCCAGTATAGAAATTACACGACAGCAAGTGGAGGAGCTGTTCGGTCCTGAAGATTACTGGTGCCAGTGCGTGGCCTGGAGCTCCGCTGGAACCACCAAAAGCCGCAAGGCACATGTCCGCATCGCATGTGAGTACGCTTATGTAAACACGCATATGAGGATTAAAGACTAGAGGGGTACTGTTCACACACGAGTGAGCATGGAGACTTCATCAAGTGTTAATGCTCAACACTTTTTCATGACATAGAAGACATACGTAAATGCAGACTCAGTCATTTTTTTTTCTTCCCCGAAACTGAAAAGAGAGCTTTTAAAAAAACATGCACACAGAAAGTTGCAATTATCACCTTCTCTTACCTGGGTCCAGGATTGCAATATTTAAAACTGGCCAGCTGTCTTGTTTTTTAGATATCTTTTAAATGAATGGTTGACAGTGTTTACCTCTAACAAATACATTGTGTTTCCTGTGACAATAAAAGCCAACCTGTAGCAGCAGGAAGTGTTGGTTGGTATTAGCAGTAATTTGACCTCTGAGAAGGCAGTGAACAATGAGGCTGATATAAATTAGACAGAATTAAAGGTATAGCATGCAGGATTTTTTGTATTAAAAAAAATATATATATATATTTATAGAGTCATACAAAAGTAATATCTCTCAATCATTAATTATGACTCACTAGAAGTGTGTGGCGGTGTGTAGACCCTTTTAGGGTCGATGTCACAATAACGTCAATTTGTTAGCTCGAGGCAGAACACGACTTGCCACCACAGGGCTGTAGGCTACATAGCAGTCTTAAAATTTAATCTTGTTGCGTTAATGGGAGCCAGAATAGAAAGAATAATGACTCAGGACTTAAATTTTATCGCATGCCAGTCGCCACTGACATCAACAAAATCGAAGACAGCTATGGTTAAATGCAATAAGATGAAAGAATTTGACAGAGGTGATCGTCAAAAATGCTCACATGTGCAGTAGACACTTCATATCAGGTTAAGGAAAAAGTATTTACTGTTGTAGGGATGAATAACGTTATGCGTATTAAGGGTTATCGTAGTAATTAAACACAAAGCAGCCATCCCACCTTCAGCAATCCTGTCAAATCATCTATCCACTGAGTGAGAGCATACGGGTCGGACAGTCTGGTCCCATTGGTCAGTGTTTACTTATTCAAGTAACACTCGCAGTCCCAGAAATTGAGTGACATGGTGCGTTCATAAATTCAGTCTGACGCTCTACACTAAAATGAGAGCCCTGTTGGTCGAAGAAACAGAGCATTATATTTCTACATTAATCGACGAATGATTAAGTTAATCACATATTCACTCCACTCGGTGCTCTGCTGTGGAGGGCTGCATTGGGATTGGGTCTCGCCGGGTCCCGCGGGACCCAATCCAAATCTTGCAGGAGCGGGCGGTTTGAACTTTGCTGCGGGCAGGAACGGGTGGCTAAAAAAAACACTGCAAGATTGGGATGTAGCCTATAGCGACAGGATGGAGTTAACAAATGATGTGGAAAAGAAGCTCAAACAAGGTCTGAAGGCGCACTGAGCCCTCTACTTCCCAGCGCTCTCAAAGCTGGCGCTTTTCATCTTCATTATCTCCTTATCCAGTGTGCCTTCAGAGCGGGCCTTTAGTGTCTGTGGGCGCATCTTGGAAGAGAGACGCACGGGATTGGGACCGCAGTCGGTCAGCAACATTCTCTTCCTCCACAGCAATATTATGGCCAAGTGATTCATTTGTTAAATTCATTCATTTCATTCGTTAGTTTTTACCCACTTTGTTTATTTTATGTTATTTATTAGTGTTATTTGAGCCACTCACAGCCTGCTCTTGTTGCTATTTGTTAATTACATAAAGAGGCGTGATGATGCCGGTGTTACTGAGCATAGGCTTTATCTTTATCTCATTAATGTTTCTTATTCAGGTCTCTCTTAGAAAAGAGACCTTAACCTCAATCACTGCGTGATTATATAAATGTAGAAAAATAAATAAAATACAGAGGAGGAGAATAGAATATGAAACAGCCTTTATTTCATTACAAACTAAATGAAAACAATGAAATAGGAGCACTATTCCTGACCAGTGCGTCAAAAGACATGCAGGCCAGGGAAACGAAACAAACAACCCCATGAATCTCTTTATTAATAGCTTATAAAATTATGTGTTTTCTCCTGTGGGATGGGAGAAGACACAAAATCAATGCATCTCTATTATTGTGCGGGCATAAATTCTCAGAGTTTTGTGGGAGCGGGCCTGAGTGGACATACACATTGCGGGTGCGGGCGGGAGTGTAACACACACGTTGCGGTTGCGGGCGGTAATGGTCAGAAATTCAGCGGGAGTAGGCAGGAGCGGGATGAAGAAAACAGTCCCGCGCAGGGCTCTACTCTGCTGCTTCATCTCAGTGCCCAGATTGCGCTCTGCCACTGGTATATTCAGACAGCGCTCTGAATTTACAAACAGTCCAGTTTGTGCCAGAGTGTCTTTCAGCACTCGGAATGTGTATTTCTGAATGCACCACTCACATCATCTTCCTACATTGTCTAAAACAAGTCATGTAGAAGCTAAAAACTAAAGCACTAAATTACACACGTGCATCGTTTCCTTTGAATCCCTCATATGTGGGTAGGCAACTTGAATTCTGTGCGGGAATGGCGGACTCCGCCACTAACATTGAAAACTAATATATAGAGAGGTAATTTACAGAACATATTGAATGGGTATTGCTTAAAAAATATGACCATAAATAGTATTTGGCTTTCTTTTGATGTACAGAAGCACATTACTATCATTAAGTATACAAGTATACAAGTATACAGTATACTGTGGGTGTACATATACACTAAAGACTGACAGCCAAAATACATTAGGTACAGATGTGGCATGAAACGTATGCCGCAGCATGCCTGCAGCAGATTGCGTCTGTTATAATCAACTTAAGCTTCTACCATAGAAGCTTGCTTAACTGTATTTTTACATGGCTTAGATAGATAGATAGATAGATAGATAGATAGATAGATAGATAGATAGATAGATAGATAGACAGACAGACAGACAGACAGGTACTTTATTAATCCCCATAGGGAAATTGTTGTGTCCAGTGGCTAATGCACATACAAAGTACAAGTACAGGTAGGTCAAGTAAAAACCAGGGTATAAAGGGCTTGTCGGCTTTTTTGTCCATACATGTTGCTTTGCGACTCTCCAGCAGATAAAAACTGCATAGAACAGTATAAAAAATGAGTACAACCTGTTAACGTAATTGTACCAGAGGTAATGCAACACAGCAGAGAAACCTTGTGGCTGTTTTTACACTTCACATTAAAATAAATCAATCAAATCAATGCATCCTGAAGTTGATTTGCAACCATACTCTACAAAGAAGGAGTCTGTGTAGTAGACTCCACCTACTTAATGCATCTCATCTGTGCCCCATGTATTTTGACTGTCATAGGAAAATACTAGTAGTTGGGTAGAACCTTCAACATGGATTTTACACTGAATGATAAATGGTGGGGGAACTTTTCTAAGCAGACATTTAGCTCTTTAACTTTCAGTCTACCATCAGTAGCTTCCTGTTATGGTCTGGTGAAGAATTTAATTTGACAACTGGGAGTCTGACTATAAGGTCACCAGAAGAACACGGGCCAGACTAAACCCAAGCAGACTCAATATCACTCTAGCAGACAGTGTTACCATGTCACACTGCATACACAGTGATCACACAGGGAAATCAATTTAGGATTGTTAGACCCTAAACAACAGTCCAGGGGAAGGAAAATTTTAAATCCTGGTGTGAATGATGGTCACTTGGCGGCTCTGCAGAAAGTGTGTGGCAGGGGAGTGGAGATGTTTGATAGAAATCACCTAAAAAGATGCCTTGTTTGTTCTTTCATTGTCAGCCTCATATAACAGAATGGATTGTTCCTTCAAAGCTCCTTTCACTGGCCTGAGAATTGAACCCACAACAGTAGTTTTCCAAGCGTCATTGCTCTGGTCAATTCAACCATATAAGACAACTGGGACTCGTCTGAGTGCTTAGGTTATAGAAAGGTCAAGCAGAGAAGAAAGACCAATAACAAAATCGACCCCATGTCCCCAGTTTACCTGCCTTACACTCACAGTGTGGCTCTGCTTGAGTGAACTATCAAAAGGACAACTGAGGGCTTTGATAGAGTTCATTCAGCAGACACTCAGAACAAACTGCACACATCCCCATATGTAGTACTTTAACAGACAGTATCACTCTAACAGACACGCACCCTGGAAATCTTGTTTTCCCAAGTTGGTCTTATAACGTGCTGGAAAAGGAAATCCATCATGTTGACCCTTGTTTTTCACTCAGGCTGTTTTATTTGGCTGTAAATATGTCTCGCATTTTCACTTTTGCAGGGCTTGGATGCTTCATTTATTTATCGACATGCTGGTTTAAACACCTGTATTTATTTTTCATTCATTTCATTTATCTGCATTTTGAAGGAAGCTAACAAAAAATATGTATTAGGGGTTTAGTTTTGGTGATATACTACGGAGGATTTTCCTAAAAAAAATAAATAAATAAAAATAAAAATGTATAGACTCATATAAAAGTAATCTCTCTCAATCATCACTTATGACCCTCTATGGCTGTGTATTTATCTGTAGAGACCCTGCCCTCAGTCTGTGCTTTCTTATTTTCTTGTCATTTTGCTGTGGTCAGGACATTTATGGGCACAGTGTGCCGGTGAGGTTGGGACTTTAAAAAAAAGTGAAGAAGAAGAAAGAGTCAGCAGGTGCCAGACCGTAAGTAGCATGCATCCGAGAGGAAGTGAAAAAAAAGCTGCAGACACAGTGCTGAAAAAAAGCGTGGAGATACACCAAGTCGCAGTATTGTGCAGGTCAACCCATAACCTGTGGATCAGGCTGTTAGGGTAAGCTTGTTCAAAAATATTAGGAGTTTTGGTGAGGCATACCATACCGGGTGAGTTCCTCAAAGTCTAAATATGCTGTTTCATTAAGGTCTTCTTGAAGCTCTGGGTAGTGACCAAAATAATGAGATTGCGGATACAAGCAGCCGAAATGAGTTTCCTCTGTGGGGTGGCTGGGCTCAGCCTTAAAGATAGGGTAAGGAGCTGGGACATCTGGAGGG